GTTTACTATGCTCATTTGGTTGCCAACCCTCACATTGCTAGAGCTTTTGATGGACTTCCTTTCGAAAACAAGATACATTGGGTCCACTTGTTCATTAATGAGAAGTTTCCTGGATCAATGTAGCGTTGTTAGATGAGTTGGGTAGTTCTTTTGGTATTATGTGTTGCCGGTGGGCCCATGATCATGTATGACTTTGTACTGCCAATATGTTTAAGGCCGAGAATTCTTAGGTGCAAGACTTAAATTTGCTATTATGTGTAAGACCTTAATTTGCTATTATGTGCACGACTTGAAACTTCTTATTATGTTTGGCTTGGACTCTATGTATGGGTTGAAATGGGATCAGATGTGAGCTAATTATGTGTGATTGTTTTTTGAGGGGTTGATTATGGAACTGCTAGTATTGTTCATTATTGGGTAGCTTGTCATTATTCTGTAGCTTGTCCAATATGCTGAAATGAAGTTGCTGGAGCTTATTTTCAAAAATAGTGATATGGAGGGTATTTTAATTTTTTATATAGTGTGGTCATCATGTAGAAATATTATTTTGTAGTTTGTAGACTATGAGAGGTAACCTCACCAACTAATGTGTGGAGGTAATTGTATCCAAGCATCCCATGTTCATCCCTCCATCCAAACAAAAGATAGGATCATTCCAACCCATCATATCCCTCAAACCAAACTAAAAACAGGGTTCGTTCTATCCCTTCAACCAAACAAAAAAACAGAACCATCCCATTCCAAAAAACAGGGATGGAACCAACCCATCCCATCCCATCCCCAAACCAAACACATGCTTATGGAGCTCCCTGAGAACAAGCTTACAGATTTCATCCAAGGCAATTAATGAAAAGGATAAGTGGACACCAATCAACAAACACAATATTAAGGTGTTCACAGAAGATGCTATTAGAAGGATTACTAACAACTACAACATTCCCATTCCCCGCAAAAAAAAAAACTACAACATTCCCATTGGCAAAGGTGGCTTTGGAGAAGTTTACAAGTGTTACCTTGACGGTGGTAGCCCAGTTGCAGTGAAGAAATATATCTGCCAGAATTCAAAAGAAGGGTTTGCTAAAGAGATTACTGTCCATGGCCAAATTAACCACAAGAATGTTGTTAGGCTCTTAGGATATTGTGCAGAGGAAAATGCTTCGATGATAGTCATCGAGTTTATATCAGGGGGAAACCTCAGAGATCTTCAGGACAACGACAATCCCATACCACTAGATGCAAGGTTGAGCATTGGTGTAGAATGCGCAGAGGCATTAGCCTACATGCATTCTTCCATGTATCAACCAGTCATTCATGGTGACATCAAACCAGATAATATACTCCTAGACAACAACTTGGGTGCGAGATTGTCTGACTTTAGAATATCGAGGTTGGTCTCCAATATGGACAAAACACAATACACAGTGTATGTAAAAGGCAGCAGAGTTATGTAGATCCAGAACATCTCGAAACTGGGCTTGTTGATCCAAAGAATGATGTCTACAGTTTTTAGAGTTGTTCTCTTGGAAATGATTACTAGAGCCAAGGCAAGTGAAAATGGTATAAGTACTGGCCTCGTCAAAAACTTTACTAAGGCTCTTGGAGAAGGAAATCAAAAGAAAGCAATGATGTTTGATGTTGGAGTAGCAAACAAGAGCGACATGAAGGTTCTTCACGAGATTGGGAAGCTGGCATTCTCAACTCTAGAGCAGCAATGAAAGTGTTGAATAACTCCATGGCTCTATGCCTCTATGAATAGCAATGAAAGTGCCCTTTGGATTTCAATGGACGGTCAGATTTCATCAGTAGCTTGCGAGCACAGCTTTGTAGAGCAGGAGCAACACTGATATCTTATCGACTTATCCTGCTGCAGTCTGCAGACACCAACCACTCAATCATCTGGGGCTTGGCCGCTTGGGAGCAGAGCTTTGTAGAGCAGGAGCAACACACTGATATCTTCTCGACTTGTCCCTGCAGTCCGCAGACACCAGCCACTGATACCGGCCACGCTGACCATCAAGAGTTGACCACGCCTCCGTTCCTCGAAGCTCTGCCCTGTCTGCTCAGAATCAGATTGATGAGCTAGGCGGCCACATCTCTTCAAACCTTCACTTGATCATCATAGTAGTTCATCGATTGCTTGGAGTGATTTCCCAAGTACGGCAGGTGAGCATCTTAAGAGCAGGTACAATAGGGCTGACTCATCGGCTCCAATAATTGCCCGGTCACATTATTCCTACGTGGAAGGGTAATGATTGAGGGGAAAGAGAAGAGCGGGCGACTAAATTGTCGCCAGGCTATAACGTATTTTTTGGGGGCGTAGCGCCTGCTTGCAGCCGAGGCAGGCGCTAGAAAACGCGGGTTGTAGGGCCCACGAAAGGAAAAACGATCCCATGCGCATCGCTCCTAGGCCGCCGATCCACCGAACCGATCCCCTTTCTCCTTTCTCTCTGCCGCACGATCCCCTCTCTCTCTGCCGTGAGATCGATCTCCCTCTCCCTCTTGGCGCGAGCGCAAGAAAGGAGGCTGGCGCATTGATCCCCCTCCCGCCAAATCGATGGACAGATCTCCCACCCACCGCTTCGATCGATCTCCTTCCCGCGCGATATTCCCTCTCCCCCACTCCTTTTTCTTCTCTCCCAATCCTATAACTTCTCCCGTGCGCGCGAAATCTATTTTGCCGGCTGGTAGAACGATGCCAAAGCCCCAAAATCGCCCCTAAAATCCATCCCCCCGGTGGATAGATCGACGGCCGCTGCCCCTGTCCTCTTCCACGGTTCTACCGCACCAAAACCCTAGTTCCCTTCCACCATGTCTCGTCGGACAAAGAGAGGTTGCGCCACCCCCTTGCGCCACTGCAAACTCATCTGCAAGCTCGTCTGGTCCTCCCGGTGTTCATATCCCGCCGGCAGCACCGTATCCATATGGATGTCCTTTGTTCCCCACCCCACTGCCATCATGGTTTCCTTTTCCACCGTCACAAGCCATGGCGGGCTCATCTGCATATCGTCCTCCTACTGATGCCAAGACGGACGTCTAAATTGATTTGGAACAATGGTACATTTATTATTTGGCCTTATCAGTTCTGATTTTGATATGCTTCTGTTTCCCTGTCTAATATTCAGAGTTCCATGGTCGTTATTGTTTTGATCCATAACAGCGCTAGTGCAATGATTTGTTTAGGAAAAAAAGGTGATTTTGTTCTGATAATCAGGTTACCGTAGTAACTTGGCCCATGTAATTTGGTCTGCAATGATTTGTACCATGTATTTATGCAGTAATTTGGCTAAGTAAAAACAAGAGTCCAATGTTACATGTAGGGTAATCATGCTAGGGTAATTAGCAGTGGTGGTAACCATGTATTTATGCAGTAATTTGGCAAAGTAAAAACAAGAGTCCAATGTTACATGTATTGCTAATTTGTTTTAGATTCGAGCACTCATTTACCACTATGTACTAAAATAAAATAATTTTGAGTTCAAAAAAAAAAATTTTGATTGCACTTATCAATATACCATTATACTGGGGTAATATTGGGTTAGGCCTTGCATTGATCAAGATTGGCTTGTTCATTCCTTTTTATATATGGGACATAACTTGATCAAGATTTCCATGTTCATGATTTTTATATAGGGGACTAGAATCTCGCCCGCTCGGTGGTTTGGTTGATTTTATCAAAAACACCACGAACCCTATGCACCATGTGACTGAAGGGTGTCAGTTGCAGCCAATTAATGTTGAGAATGGCAACAATGGAAATGCCACTAGGACCGAGAAGCACCTAGGCTGGTCAACTGAAGAAGACTTGAGGCTGGTAAGTGTCCTACGCGAGTTATTTATTTGGTAGTGGCATTCATAATACTTGCAATTTAACAATAGTAAAATATTTGGAAATTGTAGGTCAGTGCTTGGTTAAATAACTCAAATAATCCGATAGAATTGAATTTCAAAAAGAATGATAAATATTGGGCTGATGTTGCTGCTGCTTACAATAGCACTACTCCGTCAAGCCGGTTTAGGCAAGTTAAGCAAGTTAAGGACCGTTTTAGTAAGATCAAGAAAAAAGTTGGGAATTTTTGTTGCTCTTGGAAGGAAGCTAATTCATTATATGCTAGTGGGGAGTGTAATGTTGATCTCATGGCCAAGGCGCAGAAAATATATGAGAATGACTTCAAGGATGGGCCATTCTTGCTTACTCAGTGTTGGAATGAACTAAAAACCCAACCTAAATGGCATGCATATTTGGATCAGCTTGACAAGTCGAACAAAAGGAAGTGAGATTATGCTGATGCTATCTCCCTTGATGACGAGGAGATCCCACGTCCAATGGGAGTCAAGGCAGCTAAGGCGCAGCGTATAGGCAAAGGAAAAGGCAAGGTTCAAGATTGTACTGCTGAGCTAGAAGATGACATCCACAAGTTTATGGATGCACATGAAGCAGCCAAGGAGCAGCAAAGTGAATTGTTGGAGACCCAGCGACGTGTTGCTAGTGATAATCTTGAAGCGAAGAAGGTTGGTTACCAGACCGCTATGATTGCAGCATATAAAGAGTTACTGAACAAAGACACAAGAGATATGCCTGATGATGTAAGGTATGAGCTTGTTGCAATGTTGAAATGCATGAGAGAAGATATATTTACAAAAAACCAGTGAGGTATGTATCATGAAGTTCTTTGCAGTAGTAAAACATGCATATATCTACGTTGATTTTGAGCAGTAGTCAAACTATTGTACTGTATTCATAGCTATAGTTCCAAACAACCATGCAACCAGTCCCTGTTTTGTGGTAATTAATAGCAGTCAGTCCAAATAATCATGCATATAGTCTCATATTTTGTGCTGATTAACTGCCATTAGTCCAAATAACCATGCAGTCAACCCAAATTTTCATGATTATTGTAGCTGGTCCAAATTAAATTGCAGTCAATTGTCAACCCATATTAAATTTCCATGGTTGTTGCAGCTGGTCCTAATTAAAATGCAGTCATAGTCTATACATATTAAATTTTTCATGGTTGTTGCAGCTGGTCCTAATTAAAATGCAGTCATAGTCCAGCCATATTAAAATTTGTATGGTTATTATAGCTAGTCCTTTGCAGCATCTATATATTACCTCTCATAACTTGAAACTGCCAACCCAATCCATCCTCCTCCTCCTCCTCCAACCATGTCGGACTCATTCTCCTATTCATCCTCCAACTCAGATGACCTAGACCCATCTAAAGTTCTAGACAAGTACATTTCTGAGCAGAATGTACTAGGCTCATTTGCTTCTCGAATCATAGAGAAGATGAAGGGTAGGTTTGGAGCTGGGCGTTTGAAGCGCCAAGGTGGAACAATTAAGACAATTCGTAGGGATCATGTAGATGCCCACAGCCGTTTGGTGGCTGATTATTTTGCAGAACATCCGTTGTACCCAGAGCGGATGTTTCGCACAAGGTTCCGCATGCATAAGCCACTCTTTTTACGTATTGTTGAAGCCTTAAGTCAGTGGTCACCGTACTTTACTCAAAGGGGAGATTGCTCTGGTCACACCAGCCTCTCTCCACTTCAAAAGTGCACAGCAGCACTTCGTATGTTAGCATATGGCACACCTGCTGATGCACTAGATGAATATTTAAAAATTGGCAAGAGCACAGCCTTAGAATGCTTAGAAATGTTTTCACGAGGGGTGATTGTGGTCTTTGGTGGGACGTACTTGAGACGCCCCACAAGGGAGGATGTAGAGCATATATTACATGTTAACGAGTCTCGTGGATTTCCGGGTATGCTAGGTAGTATTGATTGTATGCACTGGAGGTGGGAAAGTTGTCCGAGGGCTTGGAGGGGTCAATTCACCCGTGGTGATTACAAAGTCCCAACAATTATCCTCGAAGCAGTTGCTTCACACGACCTATGGATTTGGCATGCCTTCTTTGGTGTCGCTGGTTCTAACAACGACATCAACGTGCTGAATCAGTCCCCTCTTTTCCTTGACACAGTAAGAGGTGAGGCTCCTCGGGTCCATTATTATGTCAATGGGGAAGAGTACAACCATGGGTATTACCTAGATGATGGTATATACCCTGAATGGGCTGTATTCCAGAAGACTATACCACTTCCACAAATAGAGAAGCATAAGTTATATGCTGAACATCAAGAGGGGGCGAGGAAAGATGTGGAGCGGGCTTTCGGGGTATTGCAAGCTCGTTTCAACATTGTACGTCGTTCAGCAAAGAAATGGAAGAGAAAGAGTATTGGAAATACCATGCTAGCTTGCGTGATTCTCCACAATATGATTGTTGAAGACGAGGGCGAGGATGCAATATGTGACCTAGACCTCAATAGAATTCCTAGGACATCAATAGTACTGCCTCCAGAAGTAACCAGTGGTGGTAACCCATGTTTTCGTGATGTGCTAAGTAGGAAAGCTGCTATTCGTGCTCGTTCGATGCATACCCAGCTTAAAACTGATTTAATTGAGCACATTTGGAACCGGTTCCGGAATATGCAGCGTGCATAACCATGGTAGGGTAACTAGCATATAATTTCCCCTTTTTTGTCATAGATAGAGCCTTTTAATTTACCCTTCTATATGTTTTGTTTCAGGAACAATTAAGCTTTGATGTCTACTGTGTTGCACCTCTTCAACACACCTCTTACAGGTATATTTCCTTCATATGGTATATTTATCGTGTGAGTACTTTCAGCTGTAATGAACATCGGAATTTTTGTTTACATGAACTGATTTTGTTCCTCCATATGCTATATATGTTGTATACATGAACTGCTAGCTTCATCATTGATCTTTTTTTACATCTCAGTTCAAAAATATGATTCGTGAATCTATGTAACTATAGTGTAGGGGCTGTGACAATCTTTCAAGAAAATTTACTGGAATGAGACACACCTAATTTTCTAGTTTTAGGAAAAGTTTACTGTAATTGGCAGAAATTTGACCATCACTAAGTAGTTAGATTTCTGGCATTAATATTGCATTTGTACTGTGATTGTTCTGCTGATAACATAATTTATATTCTGCTCCATCTCTCCATTACAGGCTGGTGGCAACAAATCAAGATGGCTGATGATGGTCCATGGAGATCAAGAACTATCTCAGTTTATATCTATGTTTTTGTTAACTATTATTTTGTTATCCCTAAAAAGTTGCCTTGTGTGGCTTATTAGTGTCTAATCAGAACAAAAACTTTATCTAGTTTCTGTGGTCCTTTTGTTTGATGGCATGTTGCCAGAAGATTTGTGAATCATCGTAACTGTTTCACTGTTTGGATTATTAATCCTCTATTTAACTAGCTCTGATGTGATTGTGTATATGTGGTGCAACAAAATGGCCACAAATATGGATGTCAGGACTGATCCCAACAACTGCTATTGGCATGCATGCATTAAATAGTTTAATGTATTAATCTCTGACATTTTACAACTAATCTATTGTACTTGATAAGCTATATGCTAGCTCTTCCTGAGCTGGACAGAAAATTGGAGATGGTAGTGGGCTCCCTATTGACCTTGCTCTAATTTGGCTTACTTCACCTCTCTCTCTTTCTCTCTCTCATGCCTTCTGTTTGAAGTTGATTCCGACTGCACCGGTGAAAATTTCGACAAAAAATATCACATCAAATGTCTGGATACATGCATATAGGGCATTAAATATGAGAAAAAAAATCAATTGTATAGTTTGTATGTAAATTGCGAGACGAGTCTTTTAAACTAATTACCACATGATTTGATAATGTGATGCTACAGTAAACATTTGCTAATGACGGATTAATAGGCTTAATAAATTCGTCTCGCAGTTTACACGCGGAATTTGTTTTGTTATTAGTCTATGTTTAATACTTTAAATGTGTGTCCGTATACTTCAAAAACTTTATACAAAGAACTAAACACACCAGATCTGGATATTGATGTACTGAACGACTTTTTTTCCACCTGCAACCGAACTTCTACTTCTTTCCAAAATAATTATTTGTGTAGTAAATCTACATATTATATACTAAAAGACTATTAAACTTCCTATAAACACTCTCAAACCGCCACATGATACTTCTATAAACACTCATAAACCGTAATGTGACGCTCTAATAAATTAGAAAAAATGTTGAAAATTCTGAAAAAACAAAATATCTAGCTATCGGTTATCGGTTTTCATTTAATCTGGTAAACTCATTATCTATTATATTATTAAAGAAATAGAAAAAAGAGCCTCCACGTTCGCTTTCATGGCCTAGAAATTCCCACATTAATCGGAGAAAAAGAAAAAGCAGAGTCCATATAGAAATACAATTTAAAAATAGCTAAAATTCGGAATTAAAAAATAAGGAATATTAGAAGAAAAGACTAGAGTCTATATAGAAATACAATTTAGAAATAGTTGAAATTAGGAATTAAAAAATAAGGAATATTAAAAGAGGAGACTAGAGTCCATATAGAAATACAATTAGGAAATAACTGAAATTTGGAATTAAAAATAAGGAATATTAGAAGTAGAATATAGACTCCATACAGAAATACAATTAGGAAATAATAGAAAAAGGAATTAAAAATAAGGAATATTAGAAGTAGAGTATAGAGTCCATATAGAAATACAATCAAGAAAAAAAATAGAAATTTGGAATTAAAAAAATAAGGAATATTAGAAGTAGAGTATAGAGTCCATATAGGAATTTAAAACTAACTAAAATTCGGAATAAAAAGGAGCCTCGACATTCGCTCTCATGACTTAGAAATTCTCACATTAATCGGAGAAAAAGAAAAGCAGAGTCCATATAGAAATACAATTTAGAAATAGCTGAAATTCGGAATTAAAAAATAAGGAATATTAGAAGAGGAGACTAGAGTCCATGTAGAAATACAATTTAGAAATAGTTGAAATTCAGAATTAAAAAATAAGGAATATTAGAATAGGAGACTAGAGTCCATATAGAAATACAATTATGAAATAGATGAAATTCGGAATTAAAAATAAGAAATATTAGAAATAGAGTATAGAGTCCATATAGAAATACAATTAGTAAATAATATAAATTCGGAATTAAAAATAGGGAATATTAGAAGTAGAGTATATAGTCTATATAGAAATATAATTAAGAAAAAAATAGAAATTCGGAATTAAAAAATAAGGAATATTAGAATTAGAGTATAGAGTCCATATAGGAATTTAAAACTAACTAAAACTCGGAATAAAAAGGAGGCTCCACGTTCGCTCTCATGACCTAGAAATTCTCACATTAATCGGAGAAAAAGAAAAGGCAGAATCCATATAGAAATACAATTTAGAAATAGCTGAAATTCAAAATTAAAAAATAAGGAATATTAGAAGAGTAGACTAGAGTGCATATAGAAATATAATTTAGAAATAGTTGAAATTCGGAATTAAAAAATAAGGAATATTAGAAGAGGAGACTAGAGTCCATATAGAAATACAATTAGGAAATAACTGAAATTCGGAATTAAAAATAAGGAATATTAGAAGTAGAGTATAGAGTCCATATAGAAATACAATTAAGAAAAAAAATAGAAATTCGGAATTACAAAATAAGAAATATTAGGAGTAGAGTATAATGTCCATATAGTAATTTAAAACTAACTAAAATTCGGAATAAACATAATAAAATTAAAAGTAGAGTTTAGAGTCCGTATAAAAATATAATTTACAAATAACTAAAATTCAAAATTAAGAAAAATATGGGAAGAAGAGTTTAAAATCAATATAGGAATACAATTTAGAAGTAACTAAAATTTGAAATTAAAAATTAAAGAATATTGAAATATGAGTTTATATAGAAATACAATTTATAAATAGCTGAAATTCGGAATTATAAAATAAGAAATATTAGACAATAAGGAATATTTTGAATAGCTGGATTATAGCAATGCTAGCCGCGCAATCTGCGCGGGCCACCATGCTATTTTTCAACCATTAGATCTATCTTAAAAACATATCAATTAGATTTATCTATAAAAAGGGCCATCTAATGCCACACACGCAGTAAGTAGGCCAGGCCCGTCCCTCTTTTTCCTTTTCTTTCTCACTTAGATAAGATCAAAACCAAATTAATAATGTTTAATGTTGTTTTTCTGTGCACTAATTTTCTTACTCCTATATACTTTCAAATGTTCCAATGACTTGGATTCTTTTTCATAATTATGTAACCTTGATGCTTCCCTGACAGCCCGTTTGGTTGGGGGGAGTTTTTTTAGGAGGGATTGGGAGTTTAGAGGGATGAGGCTATTAACTGTTTTGTTTGGTTGGAAGAGATGGGAATTTTGGTGGGATAGGAATGGGGAATTGAGGAAAGAACTCCCTTCTTTTCAATACCTGGGTAGGGGTGGTAACTGGGAGGAAATTCCTCATTTACTTCGCCGAAACAAATCTCAGCCATCCGTTTTCATTAATGACCTAATCTCCAACTAAACTCCCTATCAATTTTCACCACCTCCACCAAACAAGAGACTGGGATGAAAAATCAAATTTCCATCTTAATCTCACAATTAATTCTCTCGTGTAAACTTTCAATCCCCTTCCCTCAAGTTACCAAACAAGACGTGACAGTCAAGTGGAACATTTTGACGGTCATCTACCAAAGGAAGAAGACAAGTATTGGACGGAGGAGATGGAGCGTTGGATCACCATCGGACGGCCCATGTAGCCCAACTCCTCCGCTGCCACGCGACGCCCCAGCCCAAGCCAAAACCAAACCAAACAAACCCCGTCGTCACCTATCCAAACAGATAAGGCCCCGCGCGCGCGCAAACCAAAGCCTCTCCATGGACACCACCGCGTCATGGCGCCTCCTCCCCCCGGCCGCCTCCTCGCCGCCGCCCAGGAGGCAGGCGGCTCTTCTCCGGCGCCACCCGGCGGCCACCACCACCTCCTCCTCCTCCGGCAAGCGGACGACGAGGCTCCTCTGCCTCCTCCATGACACGGTAACATCCATCTCTCTCGAATCTCCCCGATCGATCGATCAGCGCCATTAATCACTTGCCGTGTTTGTTCTTGCCATCCGTTCGGCAGCCTCCTCCTGCACCGCCGCCCGCCGCTGACGAGATCAGCTCGCCGCCGCTGCGGAAGCTGGCCGCGGCGCTGCAGTGCGGTGCCATCTGGGCAGCGGTAAGTTCGATCAAGCAGCTAATTCTTTGCATTTCGGATGGATGGATGGATGAATGACCGGCGCTGCAGCGGATTCGCCGCGTGCGTCCGCCATTGATCGCAGGTTGAGGCCCCGGCGGCGCTGGCGGTGACGGGCGAGGAGGACCTCGACATCCTGGGGATCCTGCCGACGGTGGCCGCCATCGCCTTCGTTTACCTGTTCGTCTTCCCGGTGAGATCCGGGCCGCCATTCTTGGTTTCTTGCGAGGCTAATTCAGAGATCGGGTGTACAGGTTTGTGATGGTTTTTTTTCCTTTGTTTCTGCAGCCGATTATCATGAACTGGATGAGGCTGAGGTGGTTCAAGCGCAAGTTCGTCGAGACGTACCTGCAGTTCATGTTCACCTACCTCTTCTTCCCCGGGTGAGTTGCCTCTTGCTACCACGTATGCTTACAAAGAACAAATTAAAGAACAAAATGCGGCATCTTCGAATCGTGAATATATAGTATTGTAATTACCTTTCAATCTGATTTTCTGTTGAGCATTAATGCAGCAAAGATAATCATCTAGTGATCTGCTCTATCCCTCTGGACAAAAATTTAAATATATATACATATTTTGCTGTCTTAAGGAGATACCCAGAGTTACTAAATTTTACTGCGGTGTAGAATTAATTTTTCTGTTATAAAATTTGGCATCTCTCCGTACATTCTAAGGACCATAAATTTTCTAAAAAGGACTGCAGTATTGCTTTGCCGAAGATCATCATATCAATGGAATCGATGCGCATGCCGTTGCCAAATTTTGTTTGTGTGAACCAAATAACCGTGAAACTCAAAATTCCCATCTTCAACAACATATATCTCTTGCTGTGAATGGCCTAGTCATAGTATCAATTGAACCCAATTCCTTGTCTGTGTGCATCTCTACCATTTTGCAGGATGATGTTGTGGGCACCATTCGTCAACTTCAGGAAGTTCCCAAGGGATCCAACCATGAAGTACCCTTGGTCCAAGCCAAAGGAAGGCACACCGTTGTTCAAGGACAGATACCCACCTATAGAAACCTACAAGTGATCAGAAGTACTAGACCGTATTCTTTTCGAAAAAAAATAGCATTTCTTTGCATGGATTTGTAAAACATGCATGGTGCCACAATCTTCTTGGATGTATCGAGAGCAAAGTGAGATCTCACATAAAAGAAAGGGAAATGATAATGATGCAATATTACACTAGCCCAGGCACCGAAGCATATGTTGTGCTTGGGAAAAGGTTGCTAGATAAGTTGCAGGTGTTGGCAAAATCTAGTACTGGAGTAGCAGCCTGTCTTTCTGTTTCACAGTTAAGGCACCGTTTTCTCATGATCATCTTCAAAAAATACTTTCCTACTAGCTTTACACCCAAATTATAATAAGTGATTAATAACGAACGTCCCAATCTTTCATTGTAAACTAATTCGAAAAAATAGTAGATTGCAGTTTTTACTAGGTCTAGATTGAGCTTTGACCTTTCACATACTTCGCACAATGTGATTTGGAATTCCAATTGGATAAAAACCTTGACCTCTAGGAGTGTGTAAGGAACTGCAAGTAAAAGTTCTAGATTTAGATATTCCCATATGAGTATTTTGCAATTGAACTGAGTGGTACCAGATTACAGGTTGTCCTGCCCTTGGCAGAGTTCACAATTCGTTTGAATTTCATCACCCAAAATTCTCCCAAAACGGCGTGCTTAGCTTCATAAAATTGGTTGTCTCGTTGGGGCTGTCATTTCAACCTTAAAAACAAGATTGTAAACCCTGTCTATTGTTTACATTAAACCCTATTTAGAGGGTGAGTGAAAAAAAATGCCGAATTATGGGGTAAAGGGCATGTGCATTGTTGATTTCACTATGGGGATCCTTAACAAAGATACTGCTTTCTGAGTTGTGACATTACCCCTCCATAGGACATGGCATATTTTTTTTCCGAGGGGACAGGCAGGGAGCTCCTGCAATTCACTATAGAAGAAAAGAGTTGATCCAGTTTATAAGGGAAACCGAACCCAAAAATCTTACAACAACACGGTTAATTAAAGGAAAACCGGTAAAAACCCCGACATTGACAAACTGAACCTAAGTACAGCTGTCCAACAAGAGATAAACTCCTAAAACGAAGCCTTCAAGAAGGTTACGCCGATAAAACGGCGACATCGTCCGATCCTAACGAATCTAGGTTTTCACCCGGAGAAAACTCTTGAAGTGGAGTTGAACGAGGGCTCCAGTAGCAACGCCTTCAAGAAGGTGAACGGCGCCCAAGGGCGTCGCCGTTGCTAGCACCGAGAGCGGAGCAAGACTTTCGCCTTGGAGCACCCATCAACGATAGCATCCACGACAGGAGACACCAAATGTCACCTGCACACCGAGGGTACCTGCAATATTCACACCACCTGCACGACGGCCGGACTCCAAACCACCCCGTCCCCACCCGATGACGTGCCGGATCTAGGCAAGGGAGCCAGATCTGGTCGTCCCCCTCACCACCAACGCCGGCCGACGCCTAGAGGGGCTCCGGAGGACGCCAGTGGCCGCTGCGGGATGCCTGCGTGCTCACGCTACCGCCGGCCGCCGCGCCGCCGCCGGATCCGGGCACGCCGCCGCCGGATCTGCGACCTCCACCACCGCCGCCCCAACGCCGTCGCCATCACCCACAACACCACCCGGCGCACTCACCTCGGCCGCCACCATCGCCCGTCCCCGCCGCCAGTCCATCCCCGGGAGGCTCCCCAGGCCGCCCGAGCGCGAGGAGACGAGGAGCGCCCCGCCGCCGCCGTCCTTGCGGCCGCGCGGCTTCGCCGGTGGCTGCTCGGGCAACGGCGAGGCGGAGAAGGGGGGTGGGATGGGGGAAGAGGGGCGGTCAGATCGTCGCCTCCTGAGCCGCCCCTGGGGAGAGCTGACTCGGGGGAAAAAAAGGACCGTTTCTGAAGAATTATATTATAATCAAGAGGACATGGCATATTTGAGGTTCGCTCTTTGCTCAACAAGTTGGCTTGTAGGCATATCATTGGTTTACCCTTGCCCTTGTCACCTTTGGCTTGTTGATCGATGGATCAAATTGTGCTCCAATTATGACATTGAGGTTTGACCTTGATTTAGCTTCCCCCTCCCTAATATAGGGTTGTATAGTATGGCGCGAAGTCTTGTCTCCAGCTTAAGTTTATAGTATTATTTTAGCATAGTTTTTTTTATTTCTGTACTAACAAGATAATATGCATCAAAATAAATTACCAAAACTTTCTACACAATTGGGTAAATATGGAACCCCCACCCCCCGGTGCCACCCCTAACAAGTTGCTTTGGACTTTTTAAAGTCCACATTATATAAATTTGGTTACCTAGTTATTTATAGTAGTATAAATTTAAAAAGTAACGTAAGTGCAATATTATAAAAGCTCTTATTACAGTAAACTTGAATATACCATTTTTCATATAGCCAAAACCTATATTATAAATAAATTTTATGGTCAAAGTTAACTTTTGTTGACTGCTCTAAAACAACCTGTTTTTTTTTTATTCGAGAAAGTAAACTAGTCACCAATCTGTGCGTGGCACATGCTATTATTGTTGATATTATAAATATTAAAATTCGTTGAACATATTGGTTAACTTTGAAAGTGTAATTGCTTGTACCAAGACAAGAGTCTACATTAGTTACAGCTGTCTAACTGTTACTTTCCGATTTTAGAATTAAATTAGTAAAATACTAACCTGGTAATCCAAGATCTACCATATTTATTAGCTATTGGTTTCCAAATTATCAAATTAGAGTAAATATTATTATTTCTAATTGTATTCTATCTTACTATAAAGTTATAATCCACTAACTCCTAAAGCTTAGCAATGCAAAGATGCCACATCATCGTCGATTAACAAGTTGACAAATCATCATCCACTAACGATCAATACATTTAATATTATGCAAACATGTTGTATTATCTATAATTTAAAATTTATTACATTTTAGAGCTTTTAAAATGAAAGCATGTTAAATCATCATCCCACATGATGCACGTAATATTTCAATATATATCTTCATTATTTTTTTATAATATCTTATGTACCTATGTAAGTTCATCCTCACTTGGTTAATGCTATTTCTCTCTTTGCTTATCTAAGTTTATATTGTTTAGTTATCTTACACATTATTTATTTATTGTTATCATACTGAACTCCTACAGCAACGCGCGGGGTTTCACCTAGTTTATTTGAGATATACCTCCATGATGATTTTTTAAAGATAATATAAGCTTTTATCTAACTCAACCAATTATATCAATAAGACATAATCGTACTTAAAAAAAATAGAACATAACCTACGATCATAAATAAATCAACGGACAGAATTTGTTTTTAACGTGTAAGCTTCTACAAAGTGTAACGCCCTGAAAATTGCCCTAAGTTTAAATTGTGTTTTAATGCATTTCTAGAAATTTAAAAAGCCTAAAAGATCCTCCAACAATTAAAACTCACCAAGATTTATGTCAAATGGGCTTCCCCACGCTACAAAATATTTAACCAATTTTTACTTAAATTTTCAGAGCATCCTAAATAATTTTAAGGCAACAAAAACAATTAAAGAATTTTATAAAATGGAAAAGATAAAAGAAAACCTCTTCCTCCTCTTGGGCCACTTCTGGCCCATCTCTCCCTCTCTCCCTCTCTTGGCCCAGCCCGTCCAACCCCTCTCCCTTCCCTCTCTCCCCTCCCCTCCCTCTCCTTGGGCCGGCCCAGCTCATTCCCTCCCCCTCGGGCAAAGTCTGTATTTCCTCTTCCGTGCGCCCCAGCCTGAGCAGTTGTGCTCCCTACCGATGACAGGTGGGTCCCACCAGTCATCCCTAACCTCCAGCCATCCCCTCTCTCTCTCTGGCCGAATCCCTAGCGACGGCAACCTCCGATTCGCCTCCTCCACTCGCCGTTTCATCAAATTAATTGAGGGTAATTAATTCCCACCTCATCAAATTAATTCCGGTGTGACTTGCTGAGTACGGTGGTGGTACTCACTCTTGCTCACGAAATTAATCCAGAGGATGGACCTGAGGAAGATGAAGGCTTGGATCTCTAGTTCGCACCGCCGTCGAGTGCCTGTGGCTGCTGCTGTTCCGTAGTATTTCGTTGTTTTATTTGTTTATCTTTGAGTGTGAGGGCCTAGAGTCGCCCATGTAATAAAGTGCTTCCTTTACGTTTTCGCATGTGTGGCTTGTAATAATCAACAATGTCTATGTGTACCTCGCCTCTTGGGACGAGGATTAATGCACTAAGCGCTTAGAAATGGTGTATATTTCGGAGCATGACAAGTTGGTATCAGAGCCATCTTGACCGTAGGACAAGCCTGTGGTCTAAGCTTTAGGATGATAATTTTTTAGAAAATTTAATTGTGAAAACCTTCGTTATTCTATCTTCACCTGTGCACTGTTTACAAATCTGGTCATTGGTTCTTATTTCAAAATGTTGTAGATGCCTGAGTTCGAGACTACCCGCTGCTTCAACTTGGTCAGTTTTGTGGAGGAACTTCGTGCCTTGGCCGCTGAAGTCGGATACTATATCACTTCGGAGTACCGCGTGGTTCGTAACTTCGAAGACGAGGGTGTACTTGAAGCACTTTGGAGCGCCAAGGTGGTGATCATCTCCAACTCGATGATGCTGGAAAGTCATTGGTTCACAGGAGAAGGTGACAGCGGTGAATCTGCCTGCCAAGAAGCTGCATTCCATGCCAATGGGCCCTTTGCCAGAGTCAGTCCGACCAGTTGAAGACCACTCCATTCCGCTACCACCCTGCTTGCTTGGATCTCGCAGATGATGTTGACTTCCGCGATGCCCGCAATGAAGAGGACACCACCATTGTGCACATGTCCAAGTGGCCGCGATGGACAAGTACCATATGGGCTACTCTAGGGTGACGGAGAGGATGCTCAACGCACTGCTTCAGAAGAATCGAGACAAGGTGGATGAGCTTCGCGCTCTATGCAAGGAGCTGAAGGACTTGAAGAGTGAGATGCCTGGAACTGTCGTCAAGACCCTACCTGCTGGAGTTGTAGCGCTGAAGAAGAAAGAATTCCGTGAACTCAAGCAAGATGGCAGGACCGTCACTGAATTTTTGCACGAGTTCAACAGGTTGGCCCGCTATGCACCCGAGGGCGTTCGCACAGATGAAGAGAAGCAGGAGAAATTTCTTGAAGGGTTGAATGATGAGTTGTCAGTCCAACTCATCTCTGGTGACTACGAAGACTTCCAAAAGCTAGTCGACAGGGCGCTCCGCTTGGAGGACAAGCGCCGGAAGATGGAAAGCAAGAAGCGCAAGTTGGTCAATGC